GGGATTCTCCTATTGCCAAGATTTCACTGGTAGGTGTGTAATATTCTCCCAATGTCACAGCTCTGCTGTCAGGCATTCGAGACTTGCTTTCAAGGTTCCACTGCTGCCGAGACTTTTTTCTAGGCGTAAGAGACCCGTTACCGAGACTCCGCTACCAGGCGCACGAGACCGCTGCTGCCAATGCTCCGCTGCCACTAGTTAGTAAGTTTATTCAGGTATGCACAAGTACAGTTACATAGGTTATTATACATAGCAGTATATGTGTAGAGAACCTAGGATAACCCAAAAATGTCAGACAGGGTGACTTATTTCCATAACTATACTGCTGTCAAGTATAAATTCTATATCTCCTGTAGTTCCATTGTCAGCAGTAAGATGCTCTAATTGCCAACTCCTGCCCTTCTACATATGCTCACATGGAATGCTGATGTCCAAGTTAAGGACCCCAATGGAAATAAGTCACTCTGTCTGACTTTTTTGGGTTATCCTAGGTTCTCTACACATATGCTGCTATGTATGATAATTCTTTGTAACTGTATTTGTGTATACCTGAATAAACTTACTTACTAACAACCAATGAGCAGGTACCAACGCTCTAGAGGTCTATGATGTCCCGCACTGCCAGACGTAAGCCTCTCGTTATTGGCAGTTAACTACGCAAATTAGCTTGTTAACCTAACCTAGAACAGCAAGTGTTTAATTTTGTTTATCGAAGCATCAACAAAATTAAATGTTTGCTATTCTAAGTTAGTTTAGATTTATGAAGTTTTATTAAGTTTATTTAGGTACAGGTACACAGGTACAATTATCATACTAGTTTAGCATGTTAACAACCTAATTTGCATAGTTCACTGAATTCTAATGTAGATAGGCAAGTATATGTTTCTCTTAGTTATATGATAACCCACAGCTGGAGCTTTTGGTCATCTGACCGAGGCTTTCCACTGGCTTACCCTTCCACCTCTTTACAAATCATGGTTACGATTATAATCATTAAGGTACCCACACGTGTAAGCGTATGTAAGTGTAATGTGTGAAAAAAAGTCATTTCTAGGATAAGCTGTATGTAGCCTAGTATGTTCCTCTTTATATTTTTTATGCATATTTTGATGTGATACATTCATTTTTACGAGAAACTGGTATGCTGTTGAAAAGTGGCCTGGCTGGCAAAGCTCTTGCTTCATGTGCTGAGGGCCTGGGTTCGATTCCCGGCGGAGTGAAAACATTTCGACACTTTTCATTACACCTGTTGTCCTGTTCACCTAGCAAGTAGGTACGTGGGTTAGTCTACTAGTGTGGGTCACATCCTGGGGGACAAGATTGAGGACCACAATGGAAATAAGACAGACAATCCCTCAATGACACACTGACTTTCTTGGGTTACCCTGGGTGGCTAAGCCTCTGGGGTTAAAAATCCGACCAAAATCTTATCACGAGCAAAGCTTCACTTAGCAGCACTCCACATTAAGAAACATATCATGATAAATTTAATTTATGCATGGAAAAATAAATGAATTCTAAGCCTTTCCTTACTGACCCTAGTCTAGTTGAACAAGTTGATAGGCTTTACATCCCCATTATAGCAATAAACTCCCTTTCCTTAATGACCTTAGTGTAGTCGACAGGCTTCAAGTGCCATTATAGCCAAGAGCTCCCTTTGTCATATATTATGAAGTTACACAAAACATAGTTGAGCGAGTAGTATAATTAAATAAACCAATAAACTGTTGTCAGTGAATAAGCAATACTATGAATGGGAAGAATAAAACAAAGAAGTACACAAACATATTTTATTACAAAAATTCCAACAAATATACTTATGTAAAAGGAATAAAGTAATATTAGTTCTATCTACAAAGTGATTTCAACATTGGCACAGATCATTAATATTGACTCAAGATTCAAGATTGTAGTTGATCAATTAAACGATGAACCCACCCAAAATGATCTATGGTGACATATGCTAATGCATGACAATCGAGTTTAGGTGTCAGTAACGTACATCATAAAATGTGAGGCTACCATTGATGCAATTAGACATTAGAATGGACGTAAAAATTGACACAAAAACAATCATTTTAAGACAGCAAGGTCCAGAGCGGAGTCTCTGATAAGTTATGAATAATACCAGCACCTGCTGAGGGAGTCACCACAGTAATAAACTGTAAAGTACAAAAGAGGAGGTCTAACTGGGAGATTTTAGAAATTGTACATTCTTCAAAACATTAATATGAGGTATGTAAAGGATTTTAAGTTGAATAATTGTATTAATTAAAACCAAGTCATCTCTTTGAAGACAGTACTCTCTCAAAGTCTGCAATAAAACTTTTAATGTGCAAAGTAAATGTACTAGGCATACATATGTCAAAAATTAACTACCATATCATTTGAAATAAAGTATTTAACCCCAAACCTCAATAACCTTAGAAGATCAAGGAAAACTATATATACATATGTATATTTCTAAATTATAAAAAAATTAACTAATGCTACATATTAATAAATAATATTTCCATCATGTACAGAAATACCTATGGTAATATAATTACATTTCAATATCTGGAAAATCAAGACAAACTCCCTTCTAAGATAAAACAAAATCACTTGTCAAGGAATTAACCAACTTTGTTTTAACACTATGAATGGTATACGTATTTTGATGAATACCATCTAACAATCCATTGTAATTTTAACACACTGGAAAAATCTGTACTGTAATAGGTTTAAAGTCCGTAACTCATCAAATGCCATGTGTCCATATAAATGCTCTTGCACTCTAGGAACGTCAAAGCAATTAGTTTTAACTACAATGAAAAAATATATATATATATTATCCAGTAAACAAATTAAAAAATAGAAATATATACCATTCAATCACAAGTTAAAGCTACAATCACACACTTTTCATGAATAAATTCCTTTGTACACTTAGTGCAATTCTTTCATAATGGTTATTAAATTTGAGCAAAATTGACACAAAAACAATCTTTCCTTTTGAGATCAATACTAATTCATGAAAATGCCTTTTCTGATTTCATGCCACTTCTCCAGTTCACACCTATCACACACACACACCAAATAGGCAGGGTTCTTCTCCAGTGGAAAGCACTGTGCCATTAGCAGGATACATCATACACTATAATGCCCGAAGGTGACCGAGTGACATGATGGGCTATTTCTGACACTTCTGTAGCTAAGAAAACAATGAAAAAAAAAAAGAAAAAAAACTGCCAAAAAATAGCTCACTGCTTCAGCCACCAGTCCATCTTTCACCCTCGTATGACAGAATGGCAGGTTACCTGCTTGGCACGTGTCAACCTTCCTCTGAGAAAAAAGAAAATCGACTCAAGTATGTATTGCAACTGCACTATGTAATTTAAGTAATTAGTGTAAGGCGGCTCAGTTTAATATGGGCTTAATGTCAAACTACCCTAATAAATATGGACACCAACACTGTAATGTTCCCCTCAAATTTGCCTAAATAAAACACTGAACCATGCTATTCCTAGTTATTTAACATATCCATACTAAGACATCTGTTATACATAACCACACACGACTTGCAAAATTGTAATGACATGATTGGTGTATAAATATACCTAACTGGATGAATCTTATTGTAGCCAGCTGGCCCAGTGGCTTACGTGCTGGCCTCGAGTTTTATGACTCACTCGCCATGAGTTCAGTCCCCACCTGTGGTATGGTAACTTCATATGCATAGCTATACTCTACCAAACCTAGCTAAGTCTGAGAGAAAAAGGTTAGCAATTGTAGAAATATTTAAATCAGCTGTCAGGTGCATAGCAAGGATTACTGGGGCTCTCTTTCTGCCTGTTACCATAGCATCAGCCAGCCAACTATTTAAATATCTCAGGTTTTAATGACGAATGTGCAAGCTTCTAGAACTCAAAACCTCTTTTACTTCTTTCTTCCAACCATTCCTGGGATGACCCCTACTCATCCTCAGATTTAACACCCTTTACTCCATCCTCTCTAAATGCCCAAACCACTTCAATACTCCCTCATCAGCCTTTTGAATTATAGATGAGCAAAATGTACTGTGTCCTCTGAATTTAACTGAAGCCTACACAGTAGGCTTCTTCAGTTGAATAGAGGTAACAACAGAAACAGTGGAGAGGTAAAGATATGATCAGTCTAACAACCTTTAATAAGTATTTTGAGGTGGTCAGTCCCTTAGCCTAGAGAAGACTTCAGCTCCATAATCTGGAACAATGTGAAGTTGGAGCCTTATATACTGCCTCACCTTTGGCAATACACAAGGCTCCATTACCAAGCTTCAACTTCACTTTGTTCCAGCATATACAGCTGAACCCTTCTCCAGGCAGAGGGACTGACCAATTCAAAACTATTTCTTCAAGTGTGATGGACTGATCACATCATTACCTCTCCACTGCTTTCACTGTTTCCTCTGTATTCAACTGAAGAAGCCTACTGTGTAGGTGAAACATTTCAACAATGAAGATACCTAACTGTTGCACATGCATCTTACTCGTCTACTTTCTGGTATTGTATACCATTTTCATAATTATGCCTTTGATTTATATCCTGGTGACCCCATACCATCTTCTAACTTCTACACTCTGAATTCTCTGCATAATATTCACATTCAACATTACTCTCAGACATGACAATTCCATTGCCTCTAGCCTCCTAGCTGCAACATTTACAGCCAATGCCTTATGCTAATTTTCATGGTATTATTAGCAGGTATCAGCTAATTACAAAAACATGGTATATTTCCCCTTTGTCTTCAATGATAAATTTTCACTGATGCCTCAACACACCGCCTAACTTTTCCCTGCTCACCTATTCCATGATTTGCCTTGTCTTTCATATACCCATCTGCAGAAACGTCCACTCCCAAGTATCTCAACATGGACTGTAACATCTACGTCCTCCACTACATCTTTCTACACCAACATGAATAATGCAACAAAAATGGCACAGTCATTAGAACAACCGCCAAGACAAAAACTTACCAAGCTATGGAGAACAACCCGAGATGCCTCAGCTAACAAAGACTTTGGTTTCTGTTACTCGGGACTGTACAGGATCACCAGTTATCAGCTCATCCATACCATTCTGAAAATTGCATTAAAAATCCAAAATAAAAATAATGGAAATAAATATATCTGAGTATAATATATTTACACTCTTCTCTACATCTCTTTCTAAAGATATTCATTATCCTCTCACTTCTGCCACATCTAGGTAGCTTCTATCTGATTGAGGGTAGTGACGCCATTGAGAAAGACGTATCAAATTTACCAATGCTATTAAATATACTAACCCTTTGACTGTCACAACCCCAAATCCTGAGGCGTCTCCTGGTGTCGGGAAAAAAAAAGAAAAAAGCTTTCTTATGAAATGATAGAGAATCTTTTCCTGATGGTAATGACACCAAAAGAATGAAATTTGATGGAAAACTTATGGAATTACGCTCTCGCAAATTTAGCAACCTCGGCAATATTTACGAATCAGGGATTTTGCCCACTTTGAGCCCTATTTTCGGCTAATTCCATTGTTCCAGGCGACCAAACTCGTAGCTATTTCTTAAGAACTCCATTTATTCTATCGATTGAGTACAAGAAACTGCCCATTTACCGATTTCAACTACCCAATAATGTGGTCAGAAATTTGAAATTTGGCCAATTTCATGCAAATTAAGAAATATGCAAATTTCAAAATAGGGTCCAGAATGAACAATGCAGACATTCCTGGCTCTAAAATAACATTTTCTTTGTTCATCAGTCATGTCTCCAGGCCCCTCTGATATTACTCTTGCTTTCTATTTTGAATTTTTATTCAAACAAAAAATAGAAGATTTACTGTTATGCAGACTACTGCAATATTGTAATAATTGTATAAATAATGTCAACCCATTCATGACTGCATATTAGAATGGCTAGTTGGACATTTACTGGACAATGACATCGTTTGTTAACTTTTGAACATTGGCAAAAATCAAACATTTTCCCTACTTTGAGCTCCATTTCAAGGTTCTTTTCATAGTAAAACCAATCAAAATTACCTTTATTTCTATAATATGTTTTCCATTCTATCAAATGAGACCAAGAAAACAAGAATACAACAATAAATACTATAAGAAAATACACCACAAAGTTGGCGTTTTAATTAAAAAACAAAGTCGGAGTTTTTTTTTTCTCATTATGCACTGCGTGCTGCAGAATTTTTTTTATATGGTGC